GAGGAAGAATCAAGGGAACCAAATATCCTCCCTCAATTTGTGAAGTCTATGCTGAAGTACAAAAAGAAGAGAGCAGAAAAAAAATTATGATGACAGATAATCCCACTACATTAAATGTTGACAACTTGGTTTTATATCTAAAAAATCATCTCATGATGACAAATCAAAGAGGAACAGGTCGTGTGAACATTGCAAAAAAAATTTGTCATCTAATGCAGAAGTGTTGGAAAATTTATGAAAAACCCGCATATTGGAAGCCCAACAAAGTCTAAGGTGATGAGGAAAAATCAAGCAAACATAACATCAAAGTAAGACAAGCATCATGAACGTAGTCAGTTCATCAAAAAACAAATTGAAGCTCTCCAAAATCTTCAAGGGTAATATTCCGAGCCTTCTAGCACATCAAGGTAATCTTCCATCCACACTTGTTGTTATCAATGAGAAGAATCAACCTTAGATAGTGGGCTCTAGAACATATGATCACATGACATGTAATATCACTGCTTTCCAATCCTTTCATTCTTGTAAACACCACAATGTAGTTAGAGCCGCAGATGACTCCCCCTCATTTGTGGAAGGAAGAAAAAGTGTCAAACTTACAAATGATCTTATTTTTCAATTTGTGTTTCATATTCCTAAGCTTACTGTAATTTACCGTCTATCAGCAAACTTACTCGTGACATGAATTGTGTTACTAAATTCTACCCTAATTTGTATGAATTTCATGTGATCGACTTGGAGAAGGTGATTGGCAGTGCTAACATGTATCATGAAGTTTATCTGCTCACTAAGACATCCACTTCAAAAGATTGTCTCACCATTCACAATGTTTTGAGTCAAGTCTTATAAATGAGTCTGTTTCCCATGAGAGGCAAGTTATATTATGACATTTTCACATTGGGCATCCTAATTTATATTATATTGAAAATATGTATCATCATTTGTTCATAAATAAAAAAAGTCTAGTTTTTATCAGTGCAAAACTTGTCAACTTGCTAAACAACTCAACAAGTGTATATAAATTTAAAATACAAATCAATGTATCCCTTCTCTAAGATTCATAATGATATTTGGGGCCCTCAAAAAAAATATAAATGGGTGTAGATAGTTTGTCATCTTCATCTATGATCACACCAAAACCATTAGAACCTTTCTCATGAAGGAACAATCTGAAACTGCAAAACTATTTTAAACCTTCCACAACATGATCCTCACTCAATTTCGAAGCAAAATTCAGATTCTCAAAACTGATAATGCAAAAAGAGTACTATAACTCCACTTATCTATCCAAAAAATGGCATCATTCATATGAGTTATTGTGTTGATACACCCAAAAAAATTGGTGGCTTAAAGGAACAACAAACATCTCTTTGAGGTGGACATTCAATTATATTCACTAACAATATAACCAAACACCTCTAGGGGGATGTAATTCTCACATTCATTTATCTCATAAATAAAATGCCCAACAGAGTGCTAAACTTTAACAAACCTCTCAACACCCTCATACAATCCTACCCCCACATTTAGTTCTTTACCTATAACCTACTACTAAAAATTATTGGTTAAATTACTTTTGTTCATCAACATCAACTACAACAAACCAAACTTGATCTCAGGTTAATCAAATGCATCTTTAGGGGTTACTCTTAAAACAAAAAAGGGCATAACTACTACCCTTCGGAAATTAAAAAAAAAATTCTACAACTCCATGGATGTCACATTCTTCAAAAACCAACTAAGTTACTCCTAATCATATATTTAGGGGAAGATTTGGAGAGAATATCAAATTTGGGGTTTTCAGAAACCTCAAGCTCACCTCTCTTATATCTCTAACGAAACCACTCTTAAACATCAACAATTTTTGTATCTTTGTATTACAAGTTTTACACATCTCTTGCAATGCAATCACATAATCCTGATTGTAACTCCCTCGCTATAACATCCATTCACTCCAACTCCTCTTCATTAATCCCACATACAACTCCCCCCTCCCCCCCCCCATCTATAATCCCTTGTATTCTTTACATGTCTCTCTTCCATCCCTCTTTCGATTATCTCTTTCTCGTAAATTTAACCACTTTTTGCGTCTCACCTACTTGCTTGGCATGTAGCAAGTTGTTTTGCCTATAAGTGTATCTTTTGTGAAATTCCTACAAAAGAGACTTGCAAGTCTCCTATCCCAATTTTCTTTCTTGGCACCTACTTCTATTACATTTTTTTCAACACCCAAACTCAATTGGTTCTTGCACCCAGCTTCTTTAACGCTCTACCTCTGATGTGCTACCCTGCAAAAAGTATCTTCCTTTGGTCAATCTCCATATCTTCTATTTCCTTATTCTTCCTCTCATCTTCCATTCCTTAACTTGGGATGCTGGTTTTAATTTTAGAAACTTTAAGTATACACAATTCTCATCAGACAATTGACCCAAATCCTCTCTCTCTTTTATTATGAGCACTTAACCCCCCAGCTGTTCTCTGTTTCATCATCCCAATTCCTACATTGTCAAAGAATATCAACTACTCCCCCTAGCCATAACACTTCAATCATGTCATTTTCCCATTTTAGTCAAACCCCCTACCCAAGTTGATCACCTGAAATTCATACAAATTAGGGTAGAATTTAGTAACACAATTCATGTCACGAGTAAGTTTTGCTGATAGACAATAAATTACAGTAAGCTTAGGAACATCAAAAATTGAAAAATAAGATCATTTGTAAGTTTCATATTTTTTCTTCCTTCCACATATGAGGGGGAGTCATCTGCGGCTCTAACTGCACTGTGATGTTTATAAGAATAGAAGGATTGGAAAGCAGTGATATTACATGTCATGTGATCAGATGTTCTAGAGCCCACTATCTAAGGTTGATTCTTCTCATTGATAGCAACAAGTGCAGATGGAAGATTATCTTGATGTGCTAAAAAGCTCGGAATATTGCCCTTGATGCCTTGGAGAGCTTCAAATTGTTTTTTACTGAATAGAGTACGTTCATGATGTTTGTCTTACTTTGATGTTATGTTTGCTTGATTTTTCCTATCACCTTAAACTTTGTTGGGCTTTCAAAATGCGGGTTTTTCATAAATTTTCTAACACTTCTGCATCAGATGACAATTTTTTTTTCAATGTTCACACGATCTGTTCCTCTTTGATTTGTCATCATGAGATGATTTTTGAGTGTATAAAGCCGAGTTGTCAATATTTGATACAGTGGGATTACCTGTCATCATAACTTTTTTCCTGCTCTCTTCCCTTTGTACTTCAGCATAGATTTCACAAATTGAGGAAAGACATTTAGTTTCATTGATTCTTCCTCTGATATCTAGTTACTTGTTAAGTCATAGAAGGAACTTGAATGTTCTCTTTTGTTCAACATTAGTTTTATAAAGAGCGGAGAATTTTAAGTGTCTCTATGTATATGTTTCATACATATTTTATTGAAGCTAATATCTGGAGAGAGTTTTGAAGTATAGTGTAGCATTCAACTCCCTCTACCACAGGTATGCAATCTAGTTTCAATGTCAAACAACTTAGAGTTATTGTCAACATTTGAGCAGGTTTACGTTGTGACATTCCAAAAAAAAAAAATTCGTTTTGTACAAGAGGAAGTTATCTCCAATTTTTGTGGTCATAGAGTTGATAATCCATGACATAACCATGTGATATTTAATCTTTCATGTCTGATGCTTAGGATCGGTAATTTCGATTGCAGGTTTTTTTTTGGGTGAGGTGTCCATCTTTTCTTTTATCATAAATGTACATGATCACATATTGAGCCATTGGAAGAAATTGTTGTCATGTAGTTTATAATAGGTGATGCAAGAAGAGATTTCAGATATTGCCGAGATGAGAATGATTAGGTGGATGAGTGGCTTTACACTTGGAGACAAAATGCGAAATGAATATATCTGTGATAGAGTTGGTGTAACTCCTGTGACGGACAAAATTAGAGAAAGTCGTCTTAGATGGTTTGGTCACATTAAACGTCAACCATCTGATGGTCTGATTAGGAGAGTAGAAGTTTTAGATTCGACTTGTGTTAAGAAAGGCAGAGGTAGACCTAGGAAGACTTGGGCGATTTCACTAAAACCTTATATCACGTCATAAAAGAGGCTAGTTCTTGAAGCAATAAGACGCATTTAAAAAGGTTGTATATCAATTTTAAAAATAGAAAGGCTTTGTTGTTGTTGTTGTTCTTGTTGTTGTTGTTGTTGTAATCAAATCCCCCACCCATCAGCTTCTACTCAAAAATCAAATCCCCTACCCATCAGCTTCTACTCAAAATAAAATGCAAGCCATTAAAACCATCTTAAGCCTTAATCCTAGATACGAGTCATGAGAAAAAAAATTAAGACTAAATAAATGTATATAATCTTTTTCATCTACCTGGCAATTGTACTTTAAAATAAATTATTTGAAGTTCATGGAATCTAATTAAAATATTATAGAATAAATATACTATTTTGTCTACAGAAAATCGTTTGTTTCGAGAGGATCAATAATTAAAAGTTTCATGGATGTGGTAAATATAAGATGTTGTATCCTTCATCTCTCTCTTTACATAAAAAGGGTCAAATTTGTCTCAACTTCTTCGAAAGGCATTCACATTCAGCACTCCTTTCAGATGTGTTCCTAATAGAATGAGTTCTGCTTGGCACTAATGTTGAAGACCTCCATAAACATCCATCAATGGAGAGCCCATTGCACAACTATTATCTCCAAATCCAAATTATTCTAGTAAACATATTTGTTCCATTAGAAAAAAGAAAACGAAAAGCCACCATTCTCTAAACAAATTTTCTACAACCTTACTATAAGCAGCGCTATATCCCTACCCACGATCAATAAAAAGTCACAACTAGGTATCGAACAGCCATGCTTCATGTTCCATGTCATATCCCCCACAGCAATCTATGACTTCATCATTAACCACACATTCAGAGTAATTGAAATGAATTTACATGCCTAATGATGCAAAATCAAGTAAAAGTAGTGCTTACGAAGAGGGGAACCAGTAAGGCGGGGGACCCCTCTCAGCCAAATCCCACTTTGCGTACACGGAGTAGTACACAAGCTGGTGGAGAGCATGAGGATGATCCGGCCTCAGCAATCTAGCCGCCGCCACTGCTCGCCACACCTCCGCCTCCATTCCCATCCGCCAGCCTGCGCCGGCCACCGATCGGAGCGCCGAATGGAAATCCCTCGCTTCAGTCGGGGGCAGTCCAGCGGCAATAATGTCCTCCACCTGGATCTCCCATACGCTTTCCCTCGCCAAAACCGCCATCGCCCTGCTGTTCTCTGCTGATCAGACCTAAAAGGGTCTGGAGAGACATGATTATATAGAGGAAAAGAGAAATGGATGGACGCAAACAAGAGGTCCTCAAAAGTACACTTTGCTCTTTGAGAAGGGAGGCTGGAGTTGGTGACGATGGAGTCTGAGGGTTAGGTGGCGCGAGTGGCTGACGGGTAGCGGCGACCACAGTTTATATTTGCCTACAAAAAAAAATCAACTGTTGTTGGGTTCAAAATTTTAAAAAAATTAAAATAAAAAATAAAAAAAAGTAGAAGATTTACATATATACCATTCAATTTATTATGAATTCACATATCTACCCTCTAAACTTTAATTTTTGTATTCCAAGTTTCAAAGTTAAAATGATGGTATTTTGTGTGTGCAATGAAAGATTTGGGTGGTATACATATAAATAACAAAATGTAGGTGTTAGATTTATAAATATATAAGAATTGGGTGTGATTGGACCTTCTTTCTCTCCGTCTCTTTCTTTTTTTCCTTAACTCGCTTTTATTTCCTTTCCTTTCTTTCTTGTTTTTCTTCTCAAGCCCGTTCTAATTTAAATCTTTTCCTAAAATCTTAATCTTAATTTTATTATATTTTCCTTCCTTGTTTTAAACCTCTTTCATAAAATATGAAACTATATTTTATTCTTCTTTCTTATTTAAAATGTTTTCTAAAACATTCAAGCCTCTTTAAAAATAAGAGGTGATATGCTTATTGGTAGGGGCTTGTTTTTGATGTCTGAATTCAGGTTTTAGCCTTGGTACTTTCCCTTCGATAGTTGTATCTAATGTCGAGGTAGTGCTCAGGTTGTTCCTTATATGAAGTGATGATCGTCTCCATGGTTCTAGTTTGAGCCTTGACTGTAGCTCAACTTCGCCGAGGTATTTATATATTTGTCAACCCTATTTGTTGCTGTTAATCGCTTCTCAACCCCACATCAGACCCTCAACGATCTCCCTGCACTCCTACAAGTCAACGCCTCCCCCTGTTCTTTCAGCAGGCTGTTGCAACCCTTCAACCAATAGCAGGTTGCTACAGCATTCAGTCATCAGCAAGGCGCCAAACTCTTCAGCAGGCCGCAACAACCCTAAAAACCAACAGTATGCCAACAAACTCTCTTTGTAGCTTCCCTGCAAGCCACAATCATCGTTGCCCTTGACAGTGCCACTTTAACAGCAGACCAATGGACTCTCCCTGCAGCTTCCCTGCAAGCCACAATCATCGTTGCCCTTGACAGTGCCACTCTAACAGCAGACCAATGGACTCCCCCTGCAGCTTCCCTGTAGGCCACAACCACCGCTGTCCCCTGCAAGCTTCCTCCAACTGCGGTTCGACTCCCCTACCCTCGTTGATTCTCTACTCATCCCTTCCATAGAAGCGAGTCACCTCTTCTAGGTCGATCGACCAACCTTAGGTATGTGAAATAACCAGGATTGTGACTATCCAGAAGAAAATGATAATTTGGAGGAATCGGTAATAAAAATGGGGAAGGAGTTACAAAGTCAAGTCAATACCCTTAGAAACAAAGGAAATCAAGTTAGACAATTAGCTAAACTCTTAAGTAATGAATTCCAAAGAAAATCGGTGATACTAGAGGTTGAATCTGAATAATTTATTTCTAAATAACATGTTGAGTTAGATGATTTTTGTTGGAGGATGACTGAGAAATAATATGCTCTTCTTTTCAAGACACCCCATTGCATTGTTGAGGAGATAGTTGAGCCTATAATACCATCTATTGGAATGCCCCAATAGAAAGAATCTAAAAAGTTTCCTAAAGATCATTTCTCATCTATTCAAGACCTTCCAAGGCTAAGGGAACTCGTCTGGAACCTCCACTGCTCACCCAGGGCATGAAACCAGGAATTTAAACAGGTATGACCAAGCCTAGTTTTGGCGTGGTCACTCCAAGGTGCTCAAGACAGAGAGCACAACGTAATTATGCTGCTAATGTGGTGTAGTCATGCCTGACACTGACGTGACCAGTTTTGAGTGTGGTCACGTCGGCCTTCAGAAACATGAGGGTTTAATCCCTTTAGCCTGGCGTGACCACCACCGTTTTGGGCGTGGTAACAAAAAGCCAATAGCTTGCCTGACCAAAGATTTTAGCATTTCTTCCCTCTTTCTTGGCAACTTCCCCATTGGCCATGATGAGTTTGGGTGGTCAAGTAGGAGTGTTACCTGTGGCATCCACCTCTCAAAAAGCCAAGGAATGAATGTCGTGTGGAAGAGGGAGATTATTTTATGATTTGGAGGGAAAATTCCTTGCATTTTCATTCGTTTCTTGGTGTGCTAAGGGGCCAATCCGAAAATAGCAAGAGGGAGAGCTCATTTAACCAGGATATTTTCTTGCTAGAGGTAAAGGCAGAGCTGGGAAGAAAGCTACATTCTTCTTTTTCCTCTTCATATTATTCTGCTTGATTTCCTCCATTAAACCTTCCATTTTCTCCATCATATCTAAGAGAGGAATTGAGTGCGAGTTCTTTTGGGGCTTCATCCATTCGTTGAGGAAGGAGCAAGAAGAGTCGTCTCCTTTCATAAGGAGAGCCTCATCCATTCATTGGAGAAGATTAAAGAAGGGCATCTCCTTTCATTTTGGAAGCTTCATCAACTATTTGGAGAAGGAAGTAGGAACTCCACCACCTCCTTTCATAAGGAGAGCTTCATCCTTTCATTGGAGAATGAGGAAATGTACGAAGGAGCTCAAGGGGAGTCCGCCATAGGATGGTCAGACCTTAGGACTAACTCTGGGTGATCTAGTTTTTGTAGGGCTAACTTGCACACACCATACTCTCTCACAAACTCTAAGTCCTATGATCCCTTAGGTTTGTCTCCTAACTCCTTTTGAGAAGCTCATATGAATGAACATATACCCCTAGTATTTGGCTAAGAGGGTTAGAACCATCATATTGAGCAAAAAAAAGAGTCCTCATATGGATCCTATTATTTTAGCACGGCTTCATGGCTTGTTGGTCCATTTTGGCCCAAAATCACCAAATTACCAAATTTTCAAAATACCCCTACAAACCCCCACCACCACCTAATTTGACCAAAATTCACAAAAATTACCAAATTTTCAAAATACCCCAAAAATTGCCCAACATTACTAAAATACCCCTCATGACCTAAAAATTTCAAAAATTCCAAAAATTCTCAAAAATTTCAAAATCATCCCAAATATTCCCAATTTCAATTTTTTATCATCAATTTGACCCAATTTGACCAAATTTGTCCAATTTGACCAAAAGCTCCAATATGCCCTTAAAGGCCCAAATGTCCCAAAATTAGTCTCAATCTTAGCTCAATTGACCCAAATCTTGTCCAATTTCAATTTCAAATCAAAATACAGCATTAACAATCCTAATCTAAATAAAATTCAAGCCCAATTTGATCCCATTGCTAGCCCAATTTCATTCAAATAAAAAAGGCTCAATTTTGACCATATGTCTAAGTCCATCAAATTTCTAAATCCATCAAATTATTAGCCCATCAATTCAACTCAAAATCAATTGAAATTTTGCCAAATCCTTCATGAAATATTCCTACACAAAACTCAACATTCAATTAGCCCAAATTTCAGCCCAAACTCAATTTCAATTTTAAAAGCCCAAGCCCACCACATATAATTCCAAAGGCCCAAGTCCAAAGCCCATATGACAACTCTTTCCTTCATCATCTGTTTAATCAAATATCACTTCCTAAGTTTTAATTTCATGATCAATTCATTCCAAGTCAAGCCTCAAGACAAAACTCCACTAAAAATACCAAAAATTCTAAAAATCCCTTCTCATGAAAATTAGCCCAGCCAAAGGGAAGCCATGAAGCCACTCAAAAGCCATGAGAGTCATGTCACATCATCAAACTATTAATGGCAAGAGGAAAAGCCACTTTCAAACTTCTTTAAAAAGATTTTTAACCCTTTTAATGATTCCTCTAAACCTCATACTTAACCAAATCACTTGGATGAGGACTTCTCCACACCAATTTAGCTGACTCATATGATCCTCTTTAGTCCAAGACCAACCTTGGTGGTTGAACCCAACCCAAACCATGTCTTGACCCAATTTGACCCAAAATGACCCTTTTCCCATACTATTTTAATACCCTTTTGACCCTTTTCCCATACTATTTTAATCCTATACCTTTACACATGTCCAACCCCAATTGACTTCACTAAGACCAAGCCCTGACCTCCCTGAGTTGGAGGGTAACCCCTCCCTGGGGGGCCAACCACCTTGGTGGCTGGAAAACCCAAAATCAAAAGCTCCACCATTGCCAAAACTCAAAATTAAACCCATCCAAGCTGGATCATCCCAATTGGATTTTTGCATATTGTTGGCATTCACATAAGCAACTTAGAACAACCACCAATTGCTCCTGATGGATTATCCTTTCCCATCTATTTAAACCCCCCTCCATGGCCAAAGGAGGAGAGTTTGAAATTTCTTGGGGAGACTCTACCAAATTGCTTCCAGAGCTTCTTTGAGACCTCTTGAGCTTCACCCAACCACCTTTAGCCACTCAACGCCACTGTTCGAGCTCAAATTTTGAGCCTAATTTCTAGGCCGAAACAGGACACCCCTCAAAAGCCCCATCACCAGAGCACCCTAAGGTGGACTTTAACCAACACCCCAAATCGACTTTGGTTGAAATCATATCTAGGCGATTCACCAAGGCTTGAGGCTCCATCCCTAGGCTCTTGGGACCCCCACAAAGCTTCTACAAGCATCCAATCGAGGCTTCCCCCCTTGGACCAAGGTATTTAAAGTTAGCCCTAAACCGAGCTTCATTTGATTCTCCACGTGTACAGAGTTGATTTTATGGTCAATTAACCATATAAATATGTTCTCCTAGTCAAGACGAGTTTATAGGAAGAAACCACACTTTATTTGGTTGAGAATTGAGTGAGATATTAGGGTTTGAAAACAGACGGTTTGCGGGTTGGCCTCATTGGGACGATGACCGAGCGTCGTTGTATCGCGCGTGTATCACACAAATGACTCTGATCAAGCAAGACGAGCCGCGATTTGAGAAGGCGGAGCTGACGCTGATGGCAGTGCCCTATCCCACGGTGACACGCGTCTCTTCGATGCGTATGAGGATCCAATCAGCGTTGACTGGTTTAAGTAGGAAATTAGGGGATTTTTCTTATTTATTTAATTTCCAAAA